ATTTTTTTGCTCAATTTACTCTACTAGGTTTTATTGGAGCCAGTTGACATGACTTTGTTGAGTAAATACAACACTTCATTTTTCAGAGCAGAAACATCTTTCTTGATGAGTTTGAACAGATTTAATTTTGTAACAAGTAACTAGGTGTTACATTTTAAAGTAAAGAAATAAAAGTACAATTTTTAGCTTTAAAATGTAATGAAAGAAAAGTAGCTGTTTAAAAAAAATTATCAGTAAAATTACAAATCCTCAAAAAAACTACTTAAATACTGTAACAAAGTAGTTACTATAAACCTCTGCACATAAGCGTGCTCACATACAATATCATCTGTCTTTGACTTTTGACTGTGGGTGATAAAAGCACAGCATTGAACTGCTAACATTATTTTATAAATATTTACATTGTTGTCAGTTTTCACATAGAATGTTATCCCTTTTTTAGATGTACAAATAGCAGCAGCTGCTGGCTGTAGCACTTTGGGTGCAGTCAAAGACACTTTAGGCAGGAAATCATAATATTTTTGCTGTAAAAATCATGTATTGAAAACKAACAACTGTATAAAATTAGATAAAATATTTGCATTACTTATTCTGAAATATGCCAGCAGATCATTTTGGTCTCTGCCCTGCTTTGATTAGCTGCAAGCTCATCAGTTYGTTCAGAAGTTGACTATTTCCCTCTTAATTTTAGGATTTTTATGAAGATCTGAATGTGTTTCCTTACACTGATGCAGAGAGAATCATGACAGCACTAAATCTTAGGGTGTACAACAAGTGTAAAGGCAGCCAATTTGATGTAGAGGTGAGAGGGTGTTGGGTCAGTTCTCTGGACATATTGTTTACAGATGCTTTACAAGACTGGCGTGCATCATCTGTTAACATCGCTTATTAAGGCCCCAAGAAGTGTGTGTGTGTGTGTGTGGGGGGGGGGGGGGGTGACAGCGCTGCCTTGCCCAGCTGGACATCAAGCTGCTTTTCACAGTGAACACTTGATCCGTTTGGTCCAAGAGCCACTGGCTGTCAGCAGGGGGATCAGGTTTCTGAGATCCTGAAACCTCCATGAAGACATTTGTTGGAACGACACGTGGCACTCAAAAGACCTCTGTGTGGGCTAAAGTGTGCACCATATCACTCTCAGAACAGGAAACATGAAACATAGTTCTTCAAAGAAGCACTGAAGCTGGTGACACCAGCAGGATCACTTATCAACAACAAACAAAACACTTTTGATGCTTTGGTGAAAAGGACAGGATAAACTGCTGTCCGTCATGCACAATCTGAACCACCCTCTCCACCAAATCCTCAAAAAACAGACGAGCAACTTTTCAGCTCAATTCAKTTTGTTTATACAGCACCAAGTCACAACAAATGTCCCCTCAGGGCACTGTGCATGAAAGACTATAAATCTAAAGAAGCCAGCAGATTTTTGAATCTTCACTCTGTCACAGTCTCCATCCTGAGCAGCACTTTGGTGACAGTGGAGAGCAGAGTTGTACAGTAACAAAGTACAAATACTTTGTTACTGTACCTAAGTAGAAATTTTGTTTATCTGTACTTTACTTGAGTAATTATTTTTCAGCGTATTTTTTACTTTTACTCGTTACATTTTTACACATTTATCTGTACTTTCTACTCACCACATTTTTTAAAAAGCTAAGAAGTAGAAAGTCGTTACTCCTATTTTATTCCAAGTTGTTATTACTTGAAAAAAAACTATCCTGATAAATTGTGTCTCTTGGATAGAGTGAATTTAACTGTGGTTGGATGAGAAGTATAAATATATACCATTCTGACACACTATTAGCTTGTACACAACCCATCACAGCTGCACGCCGTTAGAAAAAATTTTTTTTTTTTTTTTTTT